AAAGAATTGACGCCTTTGAGCTGTGGTGTTGGAGAAGAGCACTGAACATTCCATGGACAGACAAGAGAATGAATAGATACATCTTGGAGATGGTGCAGCCAGAGAGCTCTTTAGAGGCAAGAATGATGAGTCTTCACCTCACATACTTTGGACATATTGCTAACAGGGGCTATTCGTTGGAGAAGAACATGATGTTGGGAAGGGTAGAAGGACAGCAAAGGAGAGGAAGACCCTCAATCAGGCGGATTGACAGAGTTACTGCTGCAATGGAGTCTGTGTCAGGAAATGTGAGGTTGGCACAAAATAGAACAGGGTTCAGATGTTTTTGTTCAAAATGTCGCTATTGGTCATACACAACTGGATGGCACCTAACAACAATACCAACAATTACAAAACGTACAGTGTAAATACACTCTTCCTGTTTTGTCCTTGTGATCCTCATTTCCATTAATTCTTTTTTAAATTATTATTATTATTATTAATTTCAATGAACATCTACAGAGATTTTGGAATTCCATTCATTCATTGTTACACTTTTCTCCTCATCCACGCCACCCCCACCTCCACCCCCAGTTCGCTCCTCTCCTTGAAAAGCAAAAGACAAACTCTTTCATTTGTAATTCTTCTATCTCACTCCTTCCTTTGTCCTTGGAACAATGCTTCTCTTTTGATTCTGTAGGTTTGATTGCTCTAGAAGTGAGCACCTCCTCCGTGTCATTGTTCATCTTCTAGGTTTGTGTATTATTTAGGTGAATGTTGAGGCACAGGATTAAGTTTTGTACCTTCCTTAAAGGTTGACTAAGAAACATGGTTTCAGGAATTCAAATAGCCACTATTAAGCCAGGAATTATTATTGTTAGGTGTTGTCAAATTGAGCACAACTCAAAGCAACCCTATGAACCATAGACCTATGTCTTACCTGATCCTGTGCCTTCCTTATCATGTCTGACCTACTTGAGCGCATTGCTACATTCACTCTGTCAATCTATCTTGTTGAGGAAATTCTATTTCTCTGACCTTTTCGAGAATGTTGGCCCTCTCCAAGGAATAGCCTCTTGTAGCCATGTGCCCAAATATGTGAGCTTCATCATGCTGGCCTCCAAGGACCCCTCTCACTGCACTTTCTTCAAGACATACCGGCTTGGTTTTTTTGCTGTCTTTGAAAGAGTGCTGTAATCCAACACCACAACTCAAAGGCATTAATTCTTCTTTTATCCTCCTTATTCATTGTCCAGCTTTCAGATGCACAGCAAATGATTGAAAAGACCATTGCCTGAATCAGGTGTGTCTTACTCTTCAACTTGACATCACTGGTTCTCAGTATTTGGAGCAACACCTAACAACAGATTTGCCCACTAATTATAATGGGCTTTTTCCTTCTAAAAAACACACATCTTTTTCTTTATGTATATTTTTTAAAACTTCTAGGCATTTTTTGCTTTTTCCCCCTCCTGTTCCTTCCTAGACATTCTCCTATAATCCATTTTAAAGTGGTGAGCCGTAACTGGCCATTATCTAGTTCTTTTTGGTCTCAGAGTCAAGGAGACTTAGGTTCAAGTTGTCTACTTGTTCTTTGCATGAGTTGATCCTATGTTCACATTTTCTTAGTATTGACATTGACTAAGAAAAATGGAATTTGTGTTACTTTCTGTCCAGCTAAAAATATTTTGAAATTTCTGGTCATTTATTTTAGGTTTTCTATTTATACGTTTTTCCTCTACCAAGTATCAAATTCTTCTGTTCTCCTTTCATTGTAACTTCCCACCTGTCAAGATGTGGCTGGTAGAGAATGGGCACTTTGTATCTGTTACTGACTCATTTTAGGTGCCTGGGGCAGGTATGTAAATACATTTCCAATGTTTCATAATGAGTGAGGATTGATCGGTGTGTTTCCCTAATTATTGAAAGTCAGGAAGTGATGATTATAATGTTTTATTGGCAAATAGGTTTCATAAACTAGGTAGCTCAGAGTATATGTTACAATATGCAATTGTACTAAGCAAAGAATTACTCTATTCTGAAAAAAAAACCCAACCCAAAACAAAAAACAATAGCATGTATTTTTTTAACATTAGCTTATTTACAAAATTATAATACGTTGTTTTTGAGAACAGAATCTTCCAATTTCCCTCACCTCCCACCCCCAACCCCAAATTATACAACTCCATGATTAATCCTCCCCTCCCCGGCACATCTTCATCACTCTACTTCTACCCTTCCTACCCCCATCCTCATCCTCATTCTACAATAATGGTTTTATACAATATTTATCCTTGTGGGACTGAGTTAGTTCACTCAGCATAATGTTCTCCAGTCCCTCCCAAGTTAGGTAATCATTTATGAAATCGTTGCTCCTGCGTTCTGCATAGTATTTATTCCACTGTGTGGATGCACCATAATTTCTCCATCCATCCGTTTGTGGTTGGACATCTGGGTTGTTTCCATGTTCTTGTGATGGTGAATAACGCTGCTGTGAACATTGTTGCACAAATCTCCATTTATGCCTCAGTTCTCGTTTTTAACCCAAAGACTCCTCATGTTATAATGACAGAATAGGTCTTAGATATTAAGTGATCCAACTTAATTTGCAACCGGATGGAACTAATTAAAGGAGAGAAATTTCAAGTTAAGTGTGATGATGTTTTTTACATGTTGTGTTTGCATTTATTTCTAACACTTTTGAGAGTAACAACTTTAGTTTGTTATATCCATTTTTTTTACATAATTTCTATAGTAATTTTGTTGGCAACAATACAAAAAAGACATATTCTATATTAAAATTGAAAATTAGAAAACTATTAAGGGAAAACTTGTTTGAACCTCTGATATTCTACAATGAAAGTACTTAATACTAATCTCTTCCTATTTAAATAAAGCTGAAGTATCTTTATTTTTGTGATATGGCCTTCTTTCACTTGTTGTTGTTATGTGCCGTCAAGTCGTTTGCGACTCATAGCTACCGTATGTACAACAGCCCTAAACTGTGCTCTATCCTGTGCCAATCTCATTGCCCCCGACACACCCATCCCGATTACCCCAGTCACTGAATCAATCCACCTCATAGAGGGTCTTCCCCTCCTGCGCTGTCCCTGTACTCTACCCAGCATGATGTCCCTCTCTAAGGACCTGTCTCTCCTTACAACATGTCCAAAGTATGTCAGACGAAGCCCCAGAATCCTTGCCTCCAAGGAGCAGCCTGGTTTAATCCTCTCTACGATGAATCTGTTTGTTTTCTTGGCAGTCCACGGTACATTCAATACTCTTCTCCAGCACCACAGCTCAAAGGCGTCAATTCTCCTTCTGATATTGTTGTTGTTGATTGCCATCAAGTAGAGACTCACTAATAGTGTCGCACTCATTGTGACACTATGAACAAAGGACCTGAAGCCTTTCTGTAACTGTTGTTGTTTCTCAAAGTTCATAGTTTCCAGAGGCATGTTGTTTAGGAAATGGATGGTGCTGTAGGTAAAGATAAATTATTTGTAGAGATAAATCAATTTGCAGCTTATTTTTGATGAAAAATTCTTTTTTATTTGATATACAAAATCTGTCTAAGTTAAAAAGATTCAATGCATTCGTATGAAAAAGATAGTGGAAATAGTATTCTTTCTGCACAAATGATGACCTTGAGACACTCCAAGATTGAATAAGTTCTGAAAGATTTCACAGGTTACTTTGTACACTTGTCAGGATAAAGCCAGGTTAGTCAATTCTCTAAGTTTGGCACTGTTCACGCTCTATCAGAATGAAAGACGGAAGATGATAGAGGAGGAAAAGGGAGAGGAGGCAGAGAGGAAGAAGGAAAGATTTAAAAAGCAGGTCATTTACTGCAGGAACCTTGATAGCCCATTCGGAACGGAACTGTACTGCCAACCCCAAGACAGGTAGTTTGAGTTCTTCGTCTTCTCTCTGAGAGCAGGAGGGTTAATCGCTTCCTGTGCAGTTTCCAGGTTCTGAAAACCTGCTGGAGTGTCAGGCTATGAGCTGGTTCTGACTATTGCAATGAGTTGAGTTGATCATTTATTGTATTTTCATGTTGTGCAAGGGAGAATTTGAACACAGTCACTCATGATACCTAAATCTTCATAACAATCTTAGGAGATAGTTGTTGTCGTGCTATAGTTGTTACTGTTATGTGCTGTCCAGTCAGCACAGATTCGTAGCTGAACCGCCAGTGCGTTTTCAGAGGCTGTAAATCACGCAGAAGATCGCCCGTATCTCTCCAGGAGCAGCTGGTCGAATCAGACAGTTTGTGTTTGGGTTGGCAGTGCAGTTCCTTACTTGCTAGGCCACCAGAAGTCCCTGGAAAATAGAAAATATTCCCGTTTAAAAACTGAAGGAAGGCGAGCTCTGGTGGCCTAGTGGCAAGAAGCTGCAACTGCAATCTCAGAGATGCATGGTTCGAATCCACCAGATGCTCTGCTGGAGAAGGAAGAACAATCTCCTCCTGTACCAGTCAGATCTGATTTGACGGTACACACAAAAAATGATGAAATAAAATAAATTTACAAAAAACTGAAGGATTTGAATATCAGAAAAGTGGCATTCTTGGCTGACAGTCACACAGCTAGTAAACAGTAGGTATTCCAAAATCTTTCAACCTTGGCCGTAATTGGAATTCGAGAGTATTCCCTTTCTCCCTGTTGGTGTGTTTTTCACATAGTTATTGAAAACTTCATTTTATATTTCATCTCATTCTTTAAGTGAAGCATATAAGAGACACTAAAAACGGAACGCAAGAACAAGCCAATATAAACCCCAAACAGAAACCTAACTCAGTGCTTTGGAGTGTTGACAGCACTAACCCATTTCAGAGAGATTTCAAGTATTTTTTGGCGTTAAAGTGAAAATAAGGAATTAAAAATTAACGTTGAAATTGCAACAAAGACCTGTGTTGTGAAGCACAGGTTAATAGCAGTCCATTGGATCAAAGGATGTGATCTCACTTCAGAGTAAAACAGGTCCTGCAAGCCCAGGTAACTCAGGAAGCAGAATGGTAATTATTCACAGAAGAAAGCAGGCCGTATACAGTTTCACTACTACAGTGGAAAGTCAGAAGGTCACAAAGCTTGCAGGCTAGCTGACACAACTTGAAACTGCTTGGCCCCCTTTAAAAAGAAATAATAAAATGGGAGAGAATGAAGCAAGTTTATCTAACACGACTTTGCAAGGTAAGTGCCAACCACCACCTCCGGAAACAGTTGCAAGCAGAAATTGCAGCAGTGTCTGTGGGTCACGACGTGGGTGTGTGCGTGTGTGTGCGCACCTCTCCCTGCCAACCCGCCCCGTTAAAGGTGGTCAGAGGTGTCTTGAGGGGTGAGGAGAGGTGGGGAAACGTGTTGGTTCAGAAGCAGCAGGCTGCCTCCACTGTGATTAATATATTGGCTAATGCAGAAAATGGATTTGATGGGAAATGGGGAAAGTCTTAGCAGCCCTCCCCTCCCCGGGGAAAGCTGGACGAAACTGCCAATACGTTTCATGTTGGGCCTTTCCTAATACTGGGTGCATATTCATTTTTGTCTCTCCCTCCAGTATTTTAATTTGCAGTCATTTCTTTTACCATCTCTGGAAGTCATCAGCTCAATGTCCTTTTGTAATTTCAGTTTTAAAGGTGAAAAGTGGGCTCAGGGGAGAAGCTCTGAGTGTGGGAGAGAGGTTTGCTTTACAGTTCTTGCTTAATCAAATACCTTTGTCCTTTAAAGGGCTTGGTTTTTGTTGACACTGTCTTGGCTGGGCTTCTCTGGTTAGACTTGTTGATAGAAACAGAAGGCAGCTCACACGTTTCACTTTTCCCCACTAAGAAAGAACATTCTTTAAACCCAGGAGCACCGGTTGCTGGTGTCTACTCCCATTAATTAGTTACTACTTTTGCAAATGATATTTTTGATCGAGGCATTGTTTTAAAGGTCTACTTAATAATAATATTTGTGTTTGTGGAAATCAGCCAATTACTTTCCCATCAGCAGCTATCGTTAAACGTATAATTGTGGACAACATCACATAGGAAACTGACTAGGTGCTTATAGACTTGCCAGATCTTAGCAAGTAAATAACTCATTTTATAATTAAATTATGTTTCAGAATGCTTCCATTTCTTCTTGTTCTTTTTTTAAAAAAAATGTTTATTTTACCTGGTGAAGAATCCCTTTATCTTATTTTTGCTGCCGATGTTTCTTTCCGAAAAACCTTTTGGAAATACTGTGCAAAATCCAGTTATATTTCATTTGTAAGATTGTAAAAAATATTCAATGTAAGTATTTAAAGAAACCCAAGAGGATAAAAGTTTTATTTAGCACCATCAGTGGGTGTAATTTATCTATATGTGGTTTATGTGCAAATGGTACTCTGTGTTAATTATAGCACATGCCCTGTCACACTACTTCTTGGGAGCATGGAGACCGTTACTGTGGATGCTATCATAATGGTTTTGTATCGAATAATGTGTAACTTCTCAGCAACCACTGACTGGAGCAGACTATCACTGTCTACATGGATGCCATAAATGTCTGTGTTCTTAAGTTGAAGTAAAGTGAGAACTAAGCAGGCGTCCAGCTAACATCTCTCTTTTTTTAAAAGGACCGTGGATAAATGATATTTAATTCTTATTTCCGAATTCTTGAATATGTATGGCTACAAATTTCCTCCATTGTGTTTGTGTATGTTGTTTTTCTGTTGATCTGTTCTCTTGTACAAGACAGCATCATCTTCCTATCCAGATATATTTATGATTTATTGATGGAAAGCAGTCATTTCAGAATTGATTTAAGAATTAATAATCATTGTGCATCAGGAAACCATATACATAATTGAAAACAGAAGCTATAAGAAATTCAAATTTTTCTAATATTGTGGTTGTAATTAAAGAAAAGATGGGCCTGGATCTATAATTCAACAATGAATGGGGACCGATTATGAAATCTGTTCTCCTCCAGAGTATTGGTTTGGTGTGCTTTATGAATAACTTCGCAGTGAGGATTACCTTGTTCTCTATATTATTTAAGCTGAATTGTATGCTTGGTGGTTGTTGTTACTGTTGATTGCTGTCAAGTCGAGCACGATTCATAGTGACCCCATGAACGAAAAGCCTGAAGCGTTTCTATAACTGAATGCTTATCAAAGTTCATTGAGTTTTTGGAGGCAGGTTGTTTGGGAAGTGGGTGCCACTCCTGCTTCCAATGTAGACTTGATAGTATTTAAAATATTTCTGATCTATTTTCTTAGACTACTGAATTGCTTCCTCTCTATGTTTACATTAATAGTTGAACCTATTAATCAGTTCAGAGTTAATGAGAAATGAAGATACTTTTGTTGTTGATTCTAAATTATGTTTGCATTTGTGTTTTTAAAAAAATTTACTTATCAAGAGACGAGCTACCGGGATAATTTGCAATTTTATTTCTTTTTTAAAATTTTTTAAAATTATTTTGTGTGTGTATACTGTCAAATGATCGGATCTGACTGGATAGGAGGATGTTGTCTCTCCTTCTCCAGCAGAGCGTCTGGCAATTTTATTTCTGTGGGTGAAGAAAGGAGATAAGTTTGTTTGACATCTTATAAAGTGAATATATCATGGAGTTATGAAAGAAATGTTCTCAGGTCTTTCTTTCTTTTTTTTTTTTTTTGTGGAGTGCTTTGTCCTGTATCAGATATTTCATTTCAAAATAATCTAAGAAAATAAAAAAGCATTTAAGAATATTGTGTAATTTTTCTTGTGACTCCCAGTGTTTATTAAATGTCTCTGAAAGTCAATGAAATACTCTAATTACTATCAGCTCTTTTTTTTGTGGATGTTCTCTTAATAGAATATACTCAAATCCTGTGTTTTGTACTTGAAGTATAGGAATACCTTTCATGTTTTGGTTATGAAAATTAAAGATAGATTATCCTTAGGACTTCTTCAGGTGCTTTTAAGATTTTTTTTTTAATGCTATTAGTCAAGATTGTGTAAATTCGGTAGACTGTAGGTATAGCGTAGAGGCTAGCCGGAAGTATCTTTTAAGTACTTTTTTGGTTTGAGTTTCTTGTACTTTTTTTTTTAGATTAATGTTTATAGCAAGGGAGATGACAGAGTTTGCCCAAGATAGTGAACATCTTACCTTTTCAACATTCAATATTTTCAACTGTCCTATAGTTAACACTGCATAATGGCACCGAGGGTACAGACTCGCTGAGGGCGGCCAAGATCACTCACTGCTGATGTGCATTTGTGTGTTGGTTAACAGTCACACTCCCTGCTACATCCTTTGTTGATTTCTTCTTCCCTTCCCTGTTTTGGTGAGACCTGTGCTGACTGATCACATACCAATCTCTCTCCATCCCGTTGCTGGGTCAGGAGATATCATCTTGAAGGTCAGGAATCCACATGACTCCTTTCATCTTAGATCAATTGACCCCAAACCTGATGTTTTCATTCTTTTTTTTCAAACACCTTCAGGGTACTACTTGTAAGCCTGGAGCGCACATGACTTCTTCCTAATCAGAATGGTGGGCTTATCCTTTGAGTCTGAAAATTTTCAGAAAAACTTTGAGAGCTCACAGGAAGGAAGCATCATAGCTATTAACAACAGCTTTAATATCACAAAAAAGGATTTGAGTAAAGAGGCACAATGTGTGCATTCCGGGAGAAGTTTCCAGGGTGAAGTTTCCGAAAGAAAACATAGTGCCTTCCCACTTGTGGAGACCAAGCTGGAAGCAGCATGAGACCCTCAGAGTTCAGAGTTTGACTGTCTTCCTAACACGACCATGATTTTTCCTGGCTTCATGAGACTTGGTCATTGCAGGTCCCCATATAACACATTGCCTTTGGGGCTCTCAGGAGCCCCAAGATCCAAATGCTAAATTGCCTTTTGCAAGGTGATTCCAGTACTTGTCACAATAGTACTGAGAACACATCTTCCTGTATCAAAGGATGATGATCTTCCAAGGTTTTCTCCAGTTTAATGTGAACATGGCTCAATTATTATGTACTCATGCAAAAAGCACATCTCTCCAGTTGTGTCCCAATGACAAAATGGGCACAAGAATAACTCTTTAGTTACAATGTATAAAGATTTAAAACATTCCCAGAATGGGGGGGCGGGGGGGAAGAAATTATCTAGTGTGATAGAATACTATTTCCCCTAGTTCTTAAACTGGAAAGAAATGCTATAAATAGCATGGCCTTAGGGAAGGGAGTGAGTGTTTCTGAGTGCATCACTTGTTCTAACACCCTAAGTCCTTCCTTACTTACCATCTGCAGTTGCCCTCCTGAGTACGGAAGGGGAGAGAGGAGAGGAGGCTTGTCAGGGTGGCGTGAGAGCGCAGCTCCTTTCCTGGCAGCCAGCTACCTGGAACATGCCTCAGGCCGACATTTCTTCAGAGTCCCCTTTAAACACCCCTTCCTTTACTTTGCTAGGAAAGATAAGGATTTCCCATTTCTCTTGGGATTCTTATTAACAGGCTGGGCAAGCCCACGTCAGAATTGTGAAACAGGGAAAGAATCTCTTTCAGTCTGACCACCTGTCACTCCTCTTCCTCAGGTGAGTGGACCTCATCAACTTGCCCCCCTCTCCCATTTTCGTCTTTCTGTTTCTTAGTCAAAACCTGTCCAGGACACCTGCCTCTTTGTAAAGGATGTGACAAGCTCATTTACCTTTGGGGTTATTGAAATAAAAATTATCTGTGAGTTCCATGCCAGAACAACCTTGTTTCCCTTGGGCTGCTCAACACACCCGGGTCTTTCAGGCTGCAGGGAACAGCTGGTTCGGTGTTTGGACAGCCTCCAAGCACAGGCCTGGGCCTCCTCCCAGCTCTTAGTTCTCTAGATCTAGGAAAATCCTACTGTAAAGGATGGAAAAGCTTAGAGCTCGGGGGTGGGGAAAACACCCCAAAACACACATAAAAACCCAACGATTAAGCAGTTCTCCTAAGAGCACAAGAATTTGCTGATTCCAGTGGAATACAGGGCCAGCTCTAGACGGCAGCCCATGGGAGGGGGGGAAGGATGCTTGAGCGACAATACATTCTGAAGGAGAACTGGGTTTTCAGAGCAAAGGGTAGAAATCATCTCTAGAGTCTTAGTTTTTGAAAATTAAAAGGGAGCATAAAGAAAGGGTCTGAAGTTCAATGTTACCTTTATAAAATAGTTAGAGAAACATGTCCTGGTTACTATAAAGTAAGAAACCTGAGCGAG